CACACACACCACAAAAAGGAAAAAAAGAAAACAACCCCAAAAAAAATTAACTTTGGATGTTTATCAAGTAGCCTCCCATAACTTTCGAAATATTAGAAAAACCCCTTAAGTTTAGAGGTTATTGGTTTTAACTTTAAGATTTTATCAGAAATACCCCCTAACAACATCAACCATAACTTTTTGCATGGGCACGCGCACACACACACCACAAAAAGGAAAAAAAGAAAACAACCCCAAAAAAAATTAACTTTGGATGTTTATCAAGTAGCCTCCCATAACTTTCGAAATATTAGAAAAACCCCTTAAGTTTAGAGGTTATTGGTTTTAACTTTAAGATTTTATCAGAAATACCCCCTAACAACATCAACCATAACTTTTTGCATGGGTGGATAAAATTACACAATGTGATGTTTTCTTTAGCGAAAATTGAGGTACACTCTTTTAGGAGGGTTTTTTGATAACCCCTAAACTTAAAGGGCGGTTTACGGATATTTTGAAAGTTACGGGAGGTTACCTGATAGTCGTCCATTTTGCCTTTGTTTTTTTAACCAAATAAATACTGCCTATTCTACTTGTCTAGTCTTTCACTGATTGCAAAAAGTTTGATGCAGTCGTCTACTTTAACTTCTTTAAAAAGCTCAACATGGAGCCTGTTCAAGTGAAACAATGTGACAAATCTAGGCTCTTATGCTCTTTTGATTCTTCAGGCTGATATTTAGCCTTTAGCTTTCTCCTATGCTTTTCAGCCATTGAGCAAGTGGGAATAGAGTTAGTGATGTCGTTCTCGTGAAAACTAGAATGTGAACTGAAGGGGACCTCATGATTAAGAGTATCTAAAGTTCCTTTTGCCGTCTCTTTCAAGTAAGAGAACTTAATCCCAATAATGCTCTCTAAAGCCCTGTCGCTCTTATGAGCTCATTATTAGCCTCAACTTTGTTTGCCACTAAGTCCATATCATGAAGAATGAAGACCCACTGTTTAGACTTACTAGTACTTTTGAGCAAGGATTCCAATGAAAACACCTTATAGAACAGGGTGATCTGTATCAGTCACAGATACACAGAGAGTTAGTTCTGGAATTGTAGTTTTCTAGTTGCAAGTTGAACTAATATTCTAATTTAGGATTGTTGACCAATTTTGTCAGGTTGAACACCATAGGAAATTTGTTATTAGGTTAGCTTTTCTCAAACAGATGTGTTTAGTTTAGGCGATACGACAACTTTATCGAATCACTCTATCTGTAACGGACGAGATTAGTATTATTTTTATTATTATATGGAGATCAACCATCTTAGATTTGATTTTACCACAACTCAAGTAAAAATGCTCTTTCTCGCCCTAGCAGTCTTTTTCTAAGATCGTGCCTGAGGAGGTTCAATTCGACAAGCACCTCAAAACTAAGCCACTGTTGATATTGGTCCACAGTTTTGAGATAAATCAAACGAACCAATAATATTAGCCCACATAAGTAATTGTAGGCATTCTCCAATCTCCACCACTGAGGTTTCTCCACAACTTTATACCTTTATTGCTCTCAGTTTAACTTGAAAAATGTAATAAATTCACCCAGAGGGTAAAACAAGCTAAAGCCATCACCCCAGTCTAATATAACATTTCAATCAAACCGAGAGATGCATCCTAGATTCAGGTATCATAAATGTGAATACTGCTTATGAAGTATAAATAACTGAATTTGCAAGATGAAAAAGGTATATTCGCAATGAACCCTACGGTAACCATAATACTTGATACAAGAAGTAACCATAATATCTAAACATAATATTAATGTGTTCTGTAACACATATCACGTTTTTATTCTCACATAATTCCAACTCAAACTACTAGATTATTATAAGGCCCTTCAACTACCTCTCATTTTAATCATTATAATAGAAGCACCTCTCACGTTCAAAGAGAACCAGACCCCCATTGCAGATGGGGCAAACGTCTGCCTCTGACTTGAGCATCATGTAGGTCTCGCAACTCTGGCACCTCACCAGATCCAAGGTTTCGTGCTTTGCGATTCGCGCAACTGCGATCCTGGAGGAGGAAGATGATGATGGGTTGTTGTTGCTGTT